GAGCCCCCAAGTTCATCACGGGCCCGTCTATGTAGCGAGGTCACACCAGCTTCAGGGGGTGAGTCATGAACAGCCCTGGGCAGGCTGGGCATGACCTGACACCAAAGGCGCCACTGGGAATGATTTCTATTCCTCAAGCCCAATTTTTGTTGGTGTTGTTCTGCTTTTTTTGAGTTTTCCTAATCCGTTTCTTCTCTCTATTTTTTTTTTCTTGTTCCTTATATGACACAATACAGTACAAGCTCATACTCCCTCCACTGCCTACAAATATTTATTATATCTTGTGCTAGGGAGGATGTGTGCACATATTCGCCTAAGTGGGAGGTTCTCTCCCAACTGAGTGAGTCTCATTACAAGCCAACCTCCCCACTCTGCCCTTCAAATAATCTGTCATCAAAGCAAAGAAAAAAAAGAGAAAGAGCTGGAAGAGACACCTTTACTCTCTCCCCTTCCAACTATTATCAGCAAGAAAAAGGAGTTTAGTCAGTGGAAACCAGTCCTTTGTGTGGGTGCCTGCAATTTAATACCCTTTCATTTCCGATTCCATTTTGAAAAGCTGCACTATTTTAATCTGAAATTTGCAGGCTGGAAACACATGTCAGATGGCGTGCGGCTGCTGGGGCAGCCAGGCTCTGCGGGGAGCGAGGGGCAGGGCAGAACCTTCTGCAAAGCTTGTGTCCGCATTCCTCCACATCCTGCCTTGACACGGCAGCGATTACACCAGGGTAGGCTCCACCTTGGCTCAAAACTGGAAAAGAATATACCCTGGCCAGAGGCAGCAGCATGGATTGTGCCCACGCATTTCAAATGCAACATGACTTGGGCAGGGGCAGCTCCACGTGTGCCCGGGCCAGCGTCCTGCCCAAGTGGAATCCACAGCCCCCGACTGCTGGCCGCCCTCCCAGGGCTTAGTGGAGCCGAATGGCCCGGCGTGTGGCCACAGGATGTGCTATTCTGGCCAGCCTCCTTCCGGGAGACTACCACATCCTGGACACCTTTTCTAGCAGCGTGTTCCGAAACGGGGATGAGCTGCCTTTCTGCAGGTTATTTCAAGTCAAGCTGTCCCATCACATCAACTTCACCCCTACAGGGGAACGGCATGGCCACACGCCCTTGGGAGACAGTGCCTGGCTTAGGAGGCTGGGTCGTGAGGTGTAGCTCTTGGTCACGGCCCAGGGACTTGCATTCAGTCATCTGTGTCTGCCACCCACATCACTGAGGTGCTGTAAAATACCAACTCCGGACCCCATGCCAACGTCCATAGTCACTTTCCCTGGAGGCTAGACATCGTGGTAACTCAGTGCAATGGTACTCAATATTGATTTGATCCAACTAAGACGCAAAGACCCATCTGTCAGTTTGTCATACTGTGGTGGCTTATGTGTTGCTATGAGACTGGAAGCTATGGCACCAGTATTTCAAACACCAGCAGGGTCACCATGGGGGACAGGTTTCAGTGGAGCTTCCGGACTAAGACAGAAAGGCCTGGCAACCTACTCCTGAAAGTTAGCCAATGAAAACATTATGGAGCACAACTAAATGTTATTATCCAATACAGTGCTGACCGATAAACCCAAACATACCAATGATCATGAAGATGGCACAGGACCGGGCAATCTCTCATTCTGTTACGCACAAGGTCGCCAAGAGTTATCGCTGGCTGGACTGCAACTAACAACAAGACGAAAAGGACCGAGCAAGAGAGCAGAGCCTGTGTTACCCTCCTCTCACAGGCTGCAGAAACGTAAAATGAAAACATCGATGAGACCAGCAGTTCCACTCCCAAGTCTGGATGCAAGAGAACAAGAATGTCCAGAGGCTTTATTCTCAATAGCCAAGAGCTGGAAAGAACCCTAAAATCCATTAACAGATAGATTAAAAAAAAAAAAAAAATCGTGGTACAGCCATCCAGTGGAATGCTGCTCAGCAGGAAAAAGGGACAGACTGCTGATGCATTGGAAAACATGGATGAATCTCACATTTTGCTGAGCAAAAGAAGCTGGACACAAAAGGGTACATACTGTAAGATTCCATTTATGTGAAATTCTAGAACAGGCAAAACTAGTCTATGGTGACAGGTCAGGGTAGTGGTTACTTTTGGAAAGAAACTTCTGGGCTCTTCAGGTGTTCTACAACTTGAAATGGTGGTGGTTACTTAGGTGTACATATATTTAAAAATCCACACAGATAGAGACTTAAGATCAGTGCGTTTTACTGTATGTAAGTTACACCTCACAAAAACAGTGGGAGAATAAAGAAAAGAAGGCCAGTACGAAGAGGGAGAAGATGAACACAAACAGAGCAAATGGGAAGAGAAGAGGGTGGACTTTTTCCACTGGAACCACCCCCACCTTGTCCCCAGGTCCCTCCCGAGGTATACTGATGCAGGTATTTAATACCTGTCAGGAGTGAGGTCGCAAACATTCCGGAGGCATCTCTCAACCAGGGAATAGTTTTAGTGCGTGTCCTCACACCAACCCATAATAAAAAGTACCTTCTCAAGTGCCCAGGATCGTCTTAGCTAGAGCCTGCCATTCCCTTCCAAGGGCAGACAGGCAATCACAAGGACGAGCAGCTATTTTACAGATGTGGCCTCACCTAGTCATGACAACACTTTCAGAGACCGCAAGCATCCCCACTTGACAGATGGGAAAACCCGAGGCTCAGAAGTTGAACAACTTATCATTTGTTCCTTTAACCACAGCACTCTACTCAACGGCTTGGTGCACACGACAAAAAGAAAACTCAATGAAGAGTCCAGAATAAATACCACCCCACTAAAGACTAGATTTGACTCCCAGGTTGGCACAAATGCTCACATGCTCGACTACGAGCTGAAAGATTGGTGGTTTGAACCCACCCAGAGGTGCCTCAGAAGAAAGGCCTGGCGATCTGTTTCTGAAAGGTCACAGCCTTGAAAACCCTAGAGAGCAGTTCTACTCTGCACACATGGAAGCCTGCCTGAGCCGGAATCAACTCAATGGCAATTAACAACAAAGATTAGCTTTAGGTCCCTAGGCGGTGCCAACAGTTTGTGCTCAACTATAAACCTCAAGGTTGGCAGTTCAAACCTAGCCAGTAATGCTGAAGAAAGTCCTGGATATCAGCCTCTGGAAATATTACAGTCGCGAAAACCCTATGAAGCAGTTCTACTCTGTAACACATGGGGTCGCCACAAGTCAGAATCAACTTAAGAGCAACAGGCTTGGTTTTTCGGTTGTTGTTGTTTTGAAGACTAGCTACAACAACCCCACACAAAGAAAAGGGTTGGCCACACCTTCCTTGTCTTAGACGTTGGACGAGCCCTGGTTCTGTCCTGCATCACTGTGTTCTGCTGTGGGGCCTTGGGCGGGTTACTTAAGCTCTCTGAGCCAGTTTCTTCCTCTATGTTGCTGTGTGCCATCGAGTCGATTCTGACTCAAAGCGACCCTATAAGACAGAGTAGAACTGCCACATCCTAGGGTTTCTAAATGCGGACGGTACAGCTATCTTGCACATCAGGTGAGCATAAGAGAGGAGGGCAGAGCACGGCCCAGTGTGGAGCTTCTCAAGTAGAAGTTATTAGGATTATATTGTCGCTACTAAGGTGGAGCCCTGGTGGTACAGTGGTTAAGAGCTCCGCTGCTAACCAAAAGGTCGGCAGTTCAAATCCACCAGCCGCTCCTTGGAAACTCTATGGGGTGGTTCTACTCTGTCCTATAGGGTTGCTATAAGTTGGAATCAACTCGGTGGCAATGGGTTGTTTTTTTTTTTTTCTTTTGGTGACTAATAAACATAGTTTGGAAGACTGGTGGTGGCTAGAAATCCCACAGTGGCGTAACAGAAATAACATACAACTGTGACCTCGCGAAAGCCCAATTACCACAGGAGGACCAAAGCCCGCGTAGACATGTGCGTCACCGAGAGGGTGTGTGGGTTGGGGGGGGGCGGGGGCGGGTAGTGTGTTGGCTGGTGGTTTTCTGAAAGGCTGCCTACGAAGGACTCAGGCTGGGGCAGCAACCTTGGGGCCGTGAAACAGGAAAAAAAGTCCAATATCCAGACTCCTACAGCCCAAGTACACACAGAGCTGTTTCTAGAAGGAAGTATTTCCTGTAAACCAGTGTGGAACATCACATATGCAAACAGCCTGTGCAACATCACATTCATCTGATTCACAGACGATATCCAACTAAAGTTTACACAGGCAGAGCGCTGGAAAAGAAAATCTCCCTCCCATCCTCAGTCTGTGATTGGCAACAGGGTTCCAACCTAACCTGAGTCTCCATTTCATACGAGGGCTGGAAAATTACAAGGACGTAAAGAAACCAGAAAGTGCAATCTCATTGCACAAACCACACAGCCCCTAAAGTAAACCTCCCTCAATGAGGCACTAAAATGGGGAATTTCTGATAATCCAGTAAGCACTGGATTTAATTTCAGATATGATAACTTTGCTAAGCAAATCAACAGAGCTAAAACGATCGTAACAAGAATATTTAAATAGAAAGCAAACTATTTTCAAATACATTTCCCAAAAAACAAAAACCCGTTGTTGCTGAGCCAGCTCCACACCCATAGCGACCCCATGTGTGCCACAGTAGAACTGTGCTCCATCGGGTTTTCAATGGCTGATGTTTAGGAAGTAGTTTGCTAGACCTTTCTTCCGAGGCACCTCTGGGTGAACTTGAACCTCCAATCTTCTGTTAGCAGCTGAGCGCATTAACCATTTGCACCACCCAGGGACTGGTTTTGATCTTGTAGCCTGTTATTAAAGAAGTTTCCATGAGCCCCTTCCCCGGCCCCACCCTCAGGCCTCACTAAGTAGCTCCTCAATGCTCCTTTATCCAGGCTGGGCTGGTTCACACCAGCTTCAGTGACTTCCCTAAGAATATCATAAATCAGAGCGCTCCCGTCCCTTTTGACAGCTCCCGATTTTGCCAAGTTTTAGCTGGAGTAGCGAAGAACTCGGTGCTGCAGGCGGGGCAACCACTTCCATCCATCGCAATGAGAGGGCCGCTTACCTGGTGGTCGATTTTGATGAGTGCAATGTCCGCCTTCTCATCCACATCCTTGATTTTGGCTTCGTAGGTGGCACCGTTCTTCAGCTCCACTTTGACCCGGTGCTTGTTGGTCACCACGTGGGCGTTGGTCACTATCAGCCCATCTTCAGACACGATGAACCCAGACCCGCTAGCCACAGGCACCTCCCTCTTAGAAAAAGGAAGCCTAAAACCCAAAGGAATGTACAGGTGAGCCCGAAACGCCTGAAGTCTGCAGCACATTGATTCAACGGCTCTGCGGCAGCAACACACATCTAGCAATTACTACCCTGTATACATCAAATGTACATGTTGGGTGTACTTAACACATAGAAACTAAGCTTTATGCCAATTTTGCATGCATCAAAAAATTCCACTTGTGTGCCGTCGAGTCGATACTGACTCATAGAGACCCTATAGGACAGAGTAGAACTGTCCCATAGGGTTTCCTAGGCTGACATCTTTATGGAAGCAGATCACCAGGTCTTTTCTCCCTCGGAGCGGCTGGTGGATTCGAACCACCAACCTTTCAGTTAGCAGCCAAGCACTTAAGCCACTGCGCCATCCACTGAGACAATGATTATTGGTGATGGTTGCACAACATGTTTAATGTAATCGATATCACTAAATTGTACATGTGAAAATGTTGAATTAGCAAATTTACAGATATATTTATGTTTACAATAAAAAGTTAAAAATAATAAAATTCACTTAGAAAATATATTCTTAGGGAGTTTCTTCAGAGCCAGAGGTTCATCTAGAACGGTCAAGACGGAGACTTAAATAAGTCAAACAGAACGTCCTAAGGAAGAAATGCTTGTTTTCCTGCAGGAATATACTCAGCGACACTTTGACACTTTCAGGCGTCTCAAAAATCGCTCTGATGTTTTGCAAATGGCTGCATATACTTGGCGGAAACTTCAGAGGTTATAACGAAAAGAAAGCCCTCTTTACTTGCGAAACAATTCAATGTGAACCACAGCCGGAGCGATCTTCTCCACCACGTCGGCAATGAAGTTGTATTTGTGACGCAAGCTGTTGGGATCTTCCTGCCCTGAGAACAAAAGCAGAGACGATACTTAGGACCTCTGCCCTGCACGCTGTGGTTGCCTGGAGGAAGAGATGGGTTAGAGGGATCCAAAAAGACCTGCTTAGAAGTCTTTGGAATCCTGACGGAGAGGTGGACCTAACACCCCAGACCTGGGCTGAGTTGTAGAGGTCCTTCCAGCTCTCAGGGAACAGCCCATTCAGCTCAGGCAGCAAAGTCTATTAAAGGTTTCCTCTTTACCCAGCTTCTTTCAATTGTTTCACCACAAAAGTGTTGTGCCAAAGGCACCAGCAAGTACCACTACCTCAACCTCCTACCAGCTACTCCCAAAAGCACACTGCCCATGGGTCACTTGTCGGCATGCTGAAGCGTCCCTTTCCCAACTTCCCAGCACCGCAAAGAGCAGCCTTCCTCAGCAAACGCCAGAACCCAGGGGAGGGCTGAAGCTGCTTTGACGAGAAGCCCATCGGATGTTAAGATTTAAAAGACTATTAAGAAAAAGCGTGAGGCAAAGTCATCTTTGTCCTGTCCTCCCCACTGATGCCACAAGGCAAGCCAAGGCCACCAACTGTCCCCAGAACTGTTCTCTCCCACACCTGACCATTCACTCCAACCTCAGCTGTCATATCCCTGGCCAAACAACACCAGAGGTGCCTCGGTACTATTGAAAAAAAAGGAGAGAAAGAATGATAAAATGACCCTAACTGACCATAATTTTGTGTAGAGAGATACAGAGATAACCCTGTTGAATAGGAAAATTAGTAACAGACATCTTATTTTGATTTAAAGGTTTTACTTATACTCAAAACCAAACCTGTTGCTTTTGAATCGATTTTGACTCATAACAACCCTATAGGACACAGTAGAACTGCCCGCAGTGAGTTTCCAAAGCTGTAAATCTTTACAGAAGCAGACTGCCATATCTTTCTCCCTCAGAACATCTGGTGGGTTTGAACCACCGATCTTTTGGTTAGCAGCCAAGCTTTAACCACTGCGCCACCAGGGCTACTCTTCGAAATCAAATATTAACCGTAAAAAGCCCGACCCAACCTGCAAAAACCACCAGAAACTGCTCAATAGCAACGTAAAATTTGTTTTATCCTGCTAGAAAAGGATTGCCTCCTAATTTAAATCGCAAAAAGTCTCATGACTGCAGGTGGGTGGAGGGCCAAATTATTAGCAGCCAGGTCAGAAGTAACCTGATAACAGTTGATCGTAGTAAAGAGGGGGAACCAAAACCCAAACCCTTTGCCGTCCAGTGGATTCCAACTCACTGCAACCCTATAGGACAGAGCAGAACTTCCCCTTAGGGTTTCCAAGGAGCAGCTGGTGGATTCGAACTGCCTACCTTTTGGTTAACAGCCAAGCTCTTAGCCACTGCCCTACCAGGGCTCCAAAGGGGGGAAGGCAGGTTTCAATCAATCAGGTTAAGACTAGTCAATGGTTGATCTTCCATATTCCTCCCTCCTCTTCTCTTTATAAGCCTCACTGTGTGTACCTAGTTTCTTCCAGCCATTGGCTTTTTCTGTAATCAAAATGGCCTCTCTATAAGCACATATTTTGGACATGTCATCAGGAGGGATCAGTCCCTGGAGAAGGCCATCAGGCTTGGTAAAGCAGAGGGCAAAAAAGAGGAAGACCCTCAATGAGATGGACTGACACAGTGGCTGCAATGGGCTCAAGCATAACGACTGTGAGGACGGCACAGGACCGGGCCGTGTTTCGTTCTGTTGTACATCGGGTCACTCACCATGAGTCGGAACCAACTCAACAGCACCTAACAACAACAATCACAATATGCATGTAGAACAACTGCTCAGAATGAAGTTTATGTTCAGACTTCGGTGAGTTCTGGTTATTTTAACGACATACACACATGCTATAATCCATGAACCCCCGTGTGGTAGGCATATTCAAAATACTTCAGACAAGGCTGTGCCACATCCCTGGTGTGGCGCTCTCACCCACCAGTCCTATGCACACAGCGAAGGCATCTGAGTCAGAAGTGAGCTACTCGAGACGCATGGTCCCCGGGCATGCTGCTGACAGCCTGTCACAAGTCTCTTTCCACTTCAACAGGCTCCAGGGGTGGCAGTCTAGCCTGCAGCTGAGACCCACAGGGCCTTTCCTTTCACTCTGCTCAACTCCGCCCAGAGCGGCCCACAGCCCGTCTCAGAGCAGCCCACAGCCTGTCTCAGAGGGACCCACAGCCTGTCTCAGAGCGGCCCACAGCCTGTCTCAGAGCGGCCCACAGCCTGTCTCAAAGAGTGCCACAGCCTGTCTCAGAGGGACCCACAGCCTGTCTCAGAGGGACCCACAGCCTGTCTCAGAGGGGCCCACAGCCTGTCTCAAAGAGTGCCACAGCCTGTCTCAGAGGGACCCACAGCCTGTCTCAGAGGG